GAACACGCTGAGAAAATAAACGGATCAAGGTCACATGTTGCACCACTGTGAAGAAGCCAAACATCATCACATGAGTGAGTTGTGTACCCACTCTTCTTTGTGTTTCACTTCCTCTTCCTGGGAGGAGACGCACAGTGCAGGTTTTAACGGTGTGATACTGCCCCCTGCTGGCTGCCTCTGAAACAGCAAACTGATTCTACCGACCTGTCACCTCATTGAAAACTCTTTTGTCCCAGTAAGGATCCTGTAGTCCCAGTGGTCAGGGCTGTTGAGCAGGTTAACCTGGTTACCATGGTGATCTATCTGGTTACTATGGTGATGTTAAACCTCCTCCTTATTATTTGATTGCTCTTTATTTATCTTATTGCTTTTATTGTCCTAGTTCTTGGAACTTTTGTAATTTTTTATGATGTAGAACACTGATTTTAGTTTTATCTGTGAAAGGTGCTATGTAAATATATTTTTACTTACTTATTATTCAGGTTTCCAGGTGTCATCCAGAGATTCTTTTTTCCACCTGTTCCATGCGTCACTGTAATTGGCCAGTTTAAAGCTGAGCGGTCTAATCACCAGCCAGATTCTTGTCCCGAGGATAAACTCTTCATGAGGTTGTGATCAGAAGAAACAAACTAACTCTGACTCTATTCCTGGTTCTAGAAGTTCAGGTTTCCTGTCACGTGAGCAGTGGTTGACTGTGACAGAGTGCAGAGGTTGTCGTCGTGTTTCAGGTCTGTCGTTGTGGTTTCTGTGAACTCTTTGTTCTCTCGTGTCTGACTCAGAGTCAGAGTCAAATTTTCCACCTCACGTCTTTGTGAAAGCCACAGAACCACAGGAGAAAACCAAGAAATGTGTTTACAAAGTTTATTGGTCCTGCAGAGAAACCAATCAAATATAAATAAAGAGTTGAGAAAAAAAAACTAAACATTAGATCCTGTTAAATAGGAACTTATAAATGTCATGTCATGAATCCTACAGCAGCTCAGCTCCGCTCTGTCCTGTCAAAAATAAAAACACTTTTATTTTCTCTACTGAAAATGCATCAAAAATACATTTCTTTTCAAGGATACCATACCTGAGACAGGACAGGTGCGAAGGTGTGACGGTCTTCCTCAGTGAAGAATAGAGTAGATAACCACTGGTTCTGGTGGACACTCTGAGAACACACACACAGCTTGAACTGAAAAGAAAGTCCAAACCTGGACAAAGTGTTCAGCTCTCAGTACTTTTGTATCTTCCACCTGAATCTCTGGTCTGAACTGTAGTTTCTCTCACTGCTTCACATTAAAAGTTTCCCATTTGCGACCCAGTGGGAGGCTTTTATTGTGAAGGAGTTATAGGAAATGCAATATGTCTGTCACCATGATAGCAGCGGTGCTGTTGTGGATGAGTCACACTGAAAAGAGCTGCAGACAACCACAGCTCCAACAAGCCAGGCCACACTCAATCCTACGTTTCCCATACTGCATCTGGATAGTGTCTTATATTAGATCCTCCCTGAAACCCAGAGGAACCAGATCCTGGCTGAGGTGTGCTGTATGAAAGAGGAGCAGCTGTACCTCTCCTGTTGTTTGGTCTGATGACTATCTGTCCATAAGTGACGCCGTCTGTTCTCGGTGCAGCTGGATCAGTCTCTGGAGAAGAAAGAACTGTTACCGTCACTGCAGCTCAGGGGCAGTTAAAGACAAACTGTATTAAATGATCCGGTCAATGATTTTGTTTGAGTAAAACTTCAACAGACAGAGAGCTGAAGTAAAAGCAGTGATGAGTCTCTGTTTCCGCAGCCTTTCACAGAAACACCAGCAAGAACACTTTTACCGTAACAGGAAACTGAATGATGGCAGAGCTGTTAGTTTCTGTTCAACAAGTGGGCACAGTCACAGCAGAGAGAGACAGACCCACAGAAACTCACACTGCACAACAACACGCAACCAAACAAACAGACACGCAACATGCCAAACACACGGCAACCAAAACAACAACACGCAAGCATTCCAAACAAACGAACGACGCAGACCCTCCAAACAACACACAGGCAACGCCAAAAAAACAACACGCAACCAATCCAAACCCAAAACCAAAAGACGCAAGCCATCCAAAACAACACGCAACCAAACACAACAACGCAACCATCCAACAACGCACGCAACCAAACAGACAACACGGCAACCATCCAAACGGAAGACACGAACCGATCCCAACAACGACGCAACGCAAACAAACACGACGCAACCATCCAACAACACGCAGAGCCATCCAAACAGACCGCAAGCAAACAAACACACGCACCATTCCAAACAACACTGCAACCATCCCAGAACAACACGCAACCAAACAAACAACACGCAAAATCCAAAACAACAAACGCAAGCCAAACCAAACAACACGCAACGCGTCCAAACAACACGCAACCATGCCCAAACAACACGCAAGACCAAACAAACAACACGCAACCACAAGCAAAACGAGCGCTGAAGGCAAACACAACACGCAACCAAACAAACAACACGCATCCATCCAAAACAAACATGCACCAAACAAACAAGCACGCAACCATCCAAACAACACGCATTCCATGCCAAACAACACGCAACCATCCCAAACAACACGAAGCGCAAATCCAAACAACGACGCAACCAAACAAACAACACGGCAATGCCATCCAAAGCAACGACGCAACCATGCCAAAAACAAACATGCATCCATCCAAATCAACACGCAACGCAGAAACAACGAACACGCATCAATGCCAGAAAAGCAACATGCAACCAAACAAACAACACGCATCCATCCAAAACAACACGCAAGCCAAACAAACAACTGAGCGCAACCAGTGCCTAAACAACACGGATATAATCGTGTGAAGGCATGATTACGGCAAACGCAAGATAAACAACACGCAACCATCCAAACAACACGCAAATCGCATCCAAACAAGCACGCAAGCGCCAACAACCAAGCACGCAACCATGCCAAACAACACGCAACGGCATCCGAAACCAACTACGGCAAACCAACCAGAACAACGACGGCATCCATCCCAAAACAACACGCAACGCATACCAAACAACGCATGCAATTCCGATGCGCGAAACAACACGCACCATCCAAACAACAGCACGCACCAAACAAACAACACGCATCAATGCCAAACAACACGCAAGCCAAACAAAGCAACCACGCAACGCATTCCAAACAACAGGACCGCACCGCATCCAAACAACAGCGCAACCCAATTGACAGACACGCAATTCCAAACAAAACAACAACGCAACCATCCAAAACGAAACAACACGCAACAATCCAAACAACACGCAACGCAACAAACAACGACGCAACGATCCAAACCAACACGCAACCATCCAAAGCAACACGCAACCATGCCAAACAACACGCAACGCATGCCAAACAACAACGCGCAACCAAGACAAACAACACGCACCATGCCAAAACAACATCGCAACCAAGACAAAGCAAAACGCACACCATCCAAAACAACAACGCAGACCAAGCAAACAACACGCAGACCATCCCAAACAACACGCAAGACCATCCAAACAACACGCCAACCAAACAATAACAACACGCAAGCCAAAACAAGCAACACGCAACCTCCAAGAAAAGCAACATCGCAACCATCGCCAAACAACACGCAACCAAACAAACAACTACGCAAGCCTGATCCCAACAGACACGCAATCATCCAAACAACGACGCAACCATCCAAACAACACGGCAACCATCCAACACAACACGCAACGGAAACAAACAACACGCAACCATGTGCAAACACAGCACGCAACCAAACAAAACAACACGCACCATCCAACAAACGCAACCAAACAAACAACACGCCAACATCCAAACAACACGGCCAAACCATCGCCAAAGACAAACACGCAACCGAAACAAACAACACGCAACCATCCAAACACACGCGAACCAAACAAACAACAACGCAACCATCCCAAACAACTAACGCAACCAGCATCCAAACAACACGCACCAAACAAACAACACGGCAGACCATCCAAACAACACGCAACCGAATCCAAACAACACGCACCATCCAAACAACACGTATATATATATTATATACAACACGCACCATCCAAACAGCAAAAACACACATACCCAATACAACCCAGACGGCAACCACAAACAGACTAACGGGCGCAGCCATGGGTCCAAACAACGACGCACCAACACGAAGCACAAACCGCACAGCCCCGCCCCCACCTACCATTCCAAACAACACGCAACCATCCCAAACAACACGCGCAACGCAAACAAACAACACGCAACCAAACAAAAACACGCAACCACACAAACAACACGCACCAACACACAACACGGCATGCCATGCGCAAACCAAACAGCAAGCCAACAACAACACGCAAACCATCCAAACAACACGCAATCCATCGCAAACAACACGCAACGCGATCAAAACAACACTGCAAGCCATCCAACACGACGCAACAAACAACAACACGGCATCCATCCAAACAACACGCAACCATACCAAACAACATGCATCCATTTCCCAAACAACACGCAACCAAACAAACAACACGCATCAATCCAAACAACATGCAACGCGAACCAAGCAACACGCATACCATCGCAAACAACACCGCAACCAACAAACAACACGGCAACAAACAAACAACATGGCAAGCCAAATAAACAACACGGCAACCATCCAAAACAACACGCAACCATCGGCAAAGCACGATGCAAGCCAAACAACATCAACAGCGGCAACCATCGCAAACAACACGCAACCAATCCAAACAACACGCACCGCAACAACAACACGCATCATGCCAGAACAAGCGAGCGCAACCATTCCAAACAACATGCATCCATGCAAGACACGAACCATAGCCAAAGCAACACGCAACAAACAAACAACCGGCATCAATCCAAAAACACACGCCAACCAAAACAAACCAACACGCATACCACCAAACGAACCCGCAACCATCGCCAAACACACGCAACCAAGACAAAGCAACGGACACAACCAAACAAACACGCAACCAAACGAAACAACATGCAATAAACAATAAAATTTCTGACAAAAAAACCGCACCACCGGTCCGGCTCCTGTCCCGATTGGCTGTTGATGTCGTGATATTTCAAGCATCAAGTACAATGACATCAGTGCTTCAATCTGCCTCCACGCGTTTTGCTTCAGCAAGCTGGAACGAACCAAAATAAACAACGAGGTAAGTAACAACAAGAACTAAGACATTTAATTCAAGGAAAGCACTTTGTTAGTTGGAATTTAAAAACCTCTGAGCTCATGACTGATAGTTTCTATGAATATCTGTTGTGATAATAGCGGCGTAGGAAGTATGAGTTTAAATGTGTGTTTGAGAATGCTGTTAGACTGGCTCACTCTCGGCGTTCATATTCCCTTGCAAGATCTGTACGTGACTAATGAGAATCGGTCTCCAAAATATGGTTAAAATAGAGTGGAGCAGATAACACTTTGTTATACATTAATCACTACTTTAACTTGCACATGTTGGCAGCTTATGTTTATGACGCCAAGACTTTGGTAAACCAATCTGAAACACCACCACAAACTCTTCACTCACATCAGTAAAGGTTTGTTTTCACAAAATAACTGGGCTTCAGTTTTCAGCATGTTGGGCCCAAATCATCTCTTTGGCAACAGTGTAAACAGGGTCAAAAAGGGGCCTCATTAGTGAAAGAGCTGAGATTGGGATATAAAACACTCGGGTATTATCTTCTTATGTAAGTATCTAAAAAAGATAATGTGGGTATAAATGTAATAAATCAGATAATACCGCTCAAGACGGCTCAGAGAGTAAGCGATCTAGATCATCGTAAAATCTGTGTCTCACCGTAATTTGTTTCCTCCGGAACACATTCCGTCTTGCACCAGTAGAACCAGTAACACCAGTAAACCAGACCATCAGAGACAGATACAGACAGTGCAATTAAGACATGAGAAGAGAGGCGGAGAGGTGGAGGAACGCAGGAGGAGGGAGGTGGGTGTAGGTTCCAGCTTGTGGTGGTGGGTTTCTCCGTAAAATTAATTACCATTCAGTACATTTGCACTGTTCAGAAAAATTACAAATGAAAACTTTTTTATTGATAATGAGGTCAAACAAGATACAACTGAAGCGTGACCCTTGACCGTCCTCCTGTGACAGTGATCAGCTGGGCGGAGACTCTCGCATGGACATGTGCTGTGCAAAGGCTTGTAGAGGGCCTTCATCAGACTTGTCAACTATGGTGGATGGTGCATGTGACCGTGTGTAAGTCTGCTTGTGATGAGGGAGGCCATCCTTTATGAGAGAAGGCAGCTGGGAGGTTGGAGGGAGGGGTGCTTTTGTTTTTACAAGTGCAGATGACATCATGGTCCTCCATCCACAGGGAGGACAGGACTCTGCAGGATCACTGCTTTCCACCTCAAA